TGTGTGTGTGTGTGTGTGTGTGTGTGTCTGAGATGAGAGCACCTCAATTTAAAACAAACACTGCTAATCTTATTGAATTAATATCTACAGGGTAATAAGTGACAAAAGGTCTTATTCTGCATCACACACACACACACACACACACACACACACTCTGCAGAGGAGCTAACGAGCTGTGCTTTTCTGCTGAGATTGACATGTTAAGAAAGGAAGGGAGTTAGACCAGCTGCTGTGTGTGTGTGTGCTCACAGCTTCGTACGTGTGTCCCTGTCTATCTGACGAGCGTGTGCGCCTGCTTGTGTTTACGTGTGTCTTTGTTTGTGTGTTTCCTCACCAGCAGTGACGGTGTCCTTCTCCTTGGCGTTGAGCTCCTCCACCTCTGCTCTCCGGCGCAGCTCGAATCTGCGAGCGTGTCCTTCTCGGGGCTTCCACAGCTCTTGGAGCAACAGCGGCTTTTCATTGTCTCCCAGCGCACGCAAGCACTCAGTCCGCCACCCGCCTCCTTCTATCCCGCCTCCCCCTATCCCGCCTCCCCCTATCACACTCCCCCCTATCCCACTGCCCCCCTCCAAATGTCCGATCACGTCGCACAGGACGTAGGAGTGGGCAGCATCCTTGTTGAGCGAGTAACGTTCGAGTGCCTCTTTGACCAGTTCCTGTGCACTGGAGCGTGGCGTGGCCAGGACGCTCTTGTAGTTGGCACCGGCGCAAATTTCATCTCCAAATATCTTCAGCACCCCGGGGGCCGAGCTCTGCGTGGAGAGCTCAGCCGGGTCGTCCGCCGGTCGCTCTGGGGGTTCAGTCGTCGAGCGCCGGTCCCCTCGTGTGTTTGTTCCAGTTTCTGCTGGAACGCGGTCTCTGTAGCTCAGAGTACGGTAGAGGACCTGGAGAACAGACGGACAATAATGAATGTCCCGCAGGACCAGAGGGTCACAGACATTGTGTACAGGACAAGTTTCCTCTATAATTAAGGGTCAGTTCACTCAAATTGCAAAACAACATTGGGTGTTCAACCACGAGGTTTTGCTGAGGAGGGGTGATATCCATAGGTCTCATTTCTGCGCCTCAATAAACTGGAGATTAATCAAATTCTAATTGAAGTTTTCACAGTGCTTAAAAACTACATGTTAACAAGAACAAGAATCTATAGACATGGCAGCAGCTCTGTGAGGCTGAATGAGCACCTAAGTACATACATATATGAAAGTACATACAAGGAGAGTAGTTTTTTGCAGGTATTTAGTCAACTTGATAAAGTGGTGAAGACGTAAAGATCCAGGTGATGATGCGAGTTTCTTACGATTGAGAGGAACAAACAGACATTTCATTCAAAACCACAGATGTGAGACTGTGGCACTAAAGGAAAAGTCAGAGGATCGTGACTGTCAGCAGGATTCATGCACTTTTATTTATATTAACTGTCAAGAACGCAAATCTCAACCACATCTACATGGATTCATTTCTCTAAAGTAAAGAATATGTTTTTTTGTATTTTCTGTGATTATATGTCAAACAACATATTTAAATATAGTGCAAAGAGAAGAATGAATTCAGTATTAACTTTTTACTGGTGTTTGACCTCTATTCAGCAGGGTATTCTCAGTGTGTGTGTGTGTGTGT